GAAAGAAAGAAAGAAAGAAAGAAAGAAAGAAAGAAAGAAAGAAAGAAGAGCTACAGCTATGGGTGGTGGCACACATTTCATATTTTTTGTTTATGTTGCCCTTCTTCTTGAGACAGAGTCTCACTATGTAGCTCTAACTTTTCGGGATACTCGCCTACTAGAGCATGTGACTCAGGTAGGCTATATCCTTCTCCTCCATTCCTTCTTAAAAATGGTTAGATTAGTATCCCTAAAGCCAACCAAATGGTCTACTTCCTTATTTGACCACCTCTTCCTCCTTAGGCGGACTACTAAAATCTATCAATCGGAAGCTCCCTTTGGCTCACCTAATTAATATGCCCAGTTAAAATTAAACACCTCATCCTAACTTGGGATTTCCCCCTTTACCTTTATAAACCTACATCTGCCTATGGGCCACGTCTGTCTCCCCTCTTTCCAGAGGCAGTCCTGTGTCCCTCCGGGACAAATATCCCTGTCCCCTTTCCCTTATCCCTTTCCCCTTCTCCCTCATCCCCTATCTCCTTTACCACCACATCCTAGCCCATTCTAACAGAGACCTTCCCTTCTTCTCCTCTTGAAAATTATACCTGCAAGGTCATTTGCTGCTGATTTTCTGCCTGAGTCAGAAAGCAGGCACTTTAACTTTTCTTTCCTGCTTAATAAAGGATCTCTCTGTGAAAACAGGTGTTTTGGTGTGGTTTGTGCCTTATCTGGGGTCTGAAAGGGAGTCCTTGCTGTGTGGGAGTCCCCTTCACTTCCTGCCTCTACCTCCCAAGCTCTAAGAAAGGTGTGCACTACAACACTTGTATTTCATGGCACACACTTGTAATCCTAGGCCTTAGGAGGCTGTTGCAGGAGGCACTCAGCTCTAAGGCTTTGACTACACAGCGGATCTTGACTCAAATAAATAAATAAATAAATAAGCAAGCTGCTTTCCAAAAGATGTTTTAAACAATGAAAAGATAAACTACAGATTAGGAAAAAATGCAAAATACATGTAATGCTATCGTTTAGGTATGAAATGGGTTCTGTAGTCTCTTTTACTTGTGTTGGCTTTATCCCTCTGACTATGACATTACCGAAAGGTAGTGAAACATATAAGAGTGAGCCACTATTGTGTAATATTTCCTTGTTTCCTTCTAGACTGAAACATCCTTGGATGTTCAGGGAAGCTTTTTAAACAGGAAGGCAAACAACTCAAAATTGATGTGTAATGTCCTGTGTATGTGTTTCTTTTATTGGTTGATGAATAAAGCTGTTTGGCCAATGGCTTAGCAGAGTAAAATCAGGCAGAAAATCCAAAAAGATATATAGAGAGAATAGGTGGAGTAAAAAAGATGCCATGTAGCTGCTGAAGGAGAAAAGTGCCAGAATGTTACCAGTAAGCCACAGCTTCATGGTGATGCATAGATTAATAGACATGTGTTAATTTAAGATGTAAGAGCTAGCCAGGAATATGCCTCAGTCATTGGCCAAACAATGTTGCAATTAATATAGTTTCTGTGAGATTTTTCGGGTCTGGGTGGCCAGGAGACAAAGGCACAGTCTCAGTCTACACAAAATAGCTTTAGAAAGTCACTGAAACTGACCAGATTTACTAGGCCAGAGTAAGCAAAGTTGAGTCCCCCTCAGAGGTAGCAGAGCCAAGCTGCAAAGAAGTCTCTCAGACCAAACCAGTTGCTGAGAAGAACCAGATAAACCAAACTGCAATGACTCTGAGAAGAAGCAGAAGTCAGCCAAGCTGTTTGGAAGAGGTTTAGGCCATCTGAGGCACCTGGAAAGGACAGTCTCCAAATTGTTGAGCTGTCTGCCAGGTGTGCAGTATACTCCAGGTGCTTAGCTTTGTGAGCTGTCATTCATGCTGGGGGAGGGCTTTGGTGATGCAGCTAACTATCTTTGAGTCATTTCTGCTCCTGTAAGTAACCCCTCACCCATATTCCTGTAAGTGATCTCAATAAAACTCATTGATTCACCAAGGTGGACTTTGGTGGTATCCGTACTTTGGTCTGTCATGGGTTCCCTGTCTGGGGTGAGTAGAAGTATGTCCTATCTTCCCAGGAAAAGTTTTGTCACACAACAGCCAGTTTGTTAGCTCAGTGGGTAAGGATGATTGCTCCCAAGCCTGATGACCTGAGTTTCATCCCTGGCATCCAAATGGTCGGAGGGAACTAATTCCCATGAGTTGTCCTCTGACCTCCATTCACATGCATGCACTGGCATGTACATG